TCTCTCCTGTCCTCCCCCACCCTCTGTTTTCTGCTCTGCGGTAAAGAGGAGCAGAACCCAGAGCCAACAGGGAGGAATGTTGTATCTTTTACCAAAGGACCGAAGTTTCTGGTGTCCACAGAGGGACATTTATCATAGGACCTACCTGTGACCCCTCAGGAGAAAGCACCCATTCTGGAGTACCATCTGGCCCAGCACAGGGTCCGGCAGCAGAATAAATCCAGCACCTGTCTCTGCAGGCTAAGGCCAGGTCTTGCACTTGTTTGATGTTGCGCCCCATCGGTAAAAAGTTTTGTGCATAGCCCCCTGACAGATTCATACTTCATCCAATGTATTACTGTACACAATGTATTATGCACACTTCAAGCATATTAAAAATAGAAAGAAACTAAAAATATGGATAGAAGTTCTTGTCTTGTCTTCTCACCCCCTCCCGTACCATTATGTGCACTTCCAGGTGCCCATGTCACATAGTGCAGTCTACTGGCCCAGGAGTCTGGGGTTTTCGGGTCACTCAGGGTGAGGTGGGTGCTCATAATATCCTGTTCAAGAACGTTCCCCCTTCCATCTGCACTGGGCACATGGTAAGCCTGCACTTCCTCCTCCACTGGAGGCTTGGTTTGGCCATATGACTTGTTCTGACCAAAGAAGTGTGAGCAGAAGTGACAGGAATCACTTCTGCGTGTAAGCTGTAAGAACCAGGGATGGAGGTAGAGGGAGGTAAGGAGGAACAGCAAGTGTCTTAGTCTGCTCCAGCCACACAAAGGCCCACAGACTTGTGGCTTCAGTAGCAGGCAGGTATGGTCTCACAGCGCTGCAGGCTGGAAGTCTGGGATCAAGGTGTTCACAGGGTTGGTTTCTCCTGAGGCCTCTCTCCTTGGCTTGCAGATGGCCACCTTCTTCCTGTGTCCTCACATGGGAGGGACATGTCCCTCTGTGTGTGTCTTGATGTCCCTTTCCGGTAAGGACACCAGTTCTATGGGATTGGGGCCTATGCTAGTGACCTCATTTTACCTTAATTACCTCTTCAAAGGCCCAATCTCTACATACAGTCGCATTCTGAGGTATGGCGCACTAGGACATCAACACTTGAATTTTGAGGGGACACAACTCAGCCCGTGACTGTGACCGCACGCGAAGCCATTATTTCTCAGTGGAGGTGCAGGCAGAGGTGCAGACAGGCTCTTGAGAAGCCACCGCGCAGGCGCTGCAGGAAGCCCCGAAAGGCTGAGTTTGCGGAAATCCGGTACAGTTTTAAGATGGCCTCCACGTGCCACCTCCCTTGTGGTCTCCTTCCTGACTCTTCCAATGGTTTCTTAGCTCCCAGTTCCCAAATCAGGTCCTTCCCATCCTGAAATTCTGACACTTGGGCTTTCCCGCCCAAACACTGACTGGTACGGATGGGACATACCCGTGCTATCCAAACCCAGCCATGGCACCCCTGCCGATGCGGCTCACAGTGCAGTGGGTGGAACTCTCCCCTTCTGTGCCTGGGGAGGCGAATCTCCCGGAGGGAGATGAGGGGGCTGGCTTGTCATTTCCTAACTCGGGTTTCCCTTCGACTTATGGATGTTCTTTGGCACGTCATCCTTTTTTAGTGCTTTGGCTGTCCCTGGGTGGAGAAGCAAGTGGGAAGAAGGGCCATCGATGAAATGGTTTAGGAAATACACTACGTGAAGCTGAACCGGACCTTGCTGGATTATTTCCCAGGGAAATTCCACACACTCCCGGTCCTTGTCCCTGTCAGCCAGGGACATGTCCACAGTGAACTTATCACCTCGCAGTGAGTGGTGGAGGACTGTTTTCCAGAGCCCTCAAACATTTGAGGTTTCCTTTCCTGAATGAATTTCCTTCGGAGACCGCCTCACTGTCTCCATCATTGTTTGCTTTGAGCCTGTGAACAGGGTATTTAAAGATAGCCGAGTCTGAAAGCATCAGTGTGCCTGAGTGGTTTCCATCGGAGAGGGCCCGAGGTGGGATCGCCCTGACTGGGCTGGCAAGGCCGCCTTTAGCCACACTGCCTTCCTCCTCCAAGGCTCTCCCTGCAGCCTTCTTCCTCCAGCTGGTAAGAGCACAGGCTGCGTGGCTTTGACATAGAGTCAGGACAGGGGAGATGCTTATGCTCCTGCTGAGAAGCCAAAGGGAATGTTGTCAACAGAGTTGAAAACTCCCTTTCTAAATAAGGTAGTTAATCTGCAGGAGGCTCTGAAAGCCTCTATTTTGACGGACGTTACCAGTCCACGAGACATAACACTTAGCCGGGGCCACCAGGCAGCTAGTGTAGCATCAGGCTGTGTCCCTGAATGAAGAAGGTGCACCATCTCTGAAATGTCACTTCTGCTCTCCCCATACTCTGGTCATCACCTTCCTTTCAGTCTCCAGACCTCTGGACGTTGGAGTTCCAGGATGCTGTACTTAACCCCTTTCCTTTATGTCCTCTCTCTTTTCCTCGAAGAGTTTATCCAGCTGTGGTGCTTTAAAAATCATCATATCCAGATCCAGAACCCTCAATTTATGTTTCCAACATTGGCCTTTTCCTGAAGTCCAAGTCCTTTTATCCAACCACCTACTCACTCCCTACTTGGATTTCTAACAGATGTTTAAATGTACCATGGGGCTGCCCCTCTGCCCCAATCATGCTCCCTGCAAAGTGTCTACATCTAAGTAAATGCACCCCCTCCATCCAGCTGCCAGCCAGAGAGCTGTTCTTAATTCCTCTGTTTCCTTCACACTCCACATCCAAGCTATTGGTGTGTCTGGTTGGCTTTATCTCCAAAGTATATCCCAAAGTGTGTCTCAAAGTAAATCCCAAAGTCCATCCACCCACCCACTCTCCCTCCCTCCTTTTCTTCCTTCTTTCCTTCCTCTCCTCCCACCCTACTACCTTCTTCCCTCTCTCCGTGTCCCTTCTCTTTCTCTTTCTTTGTATGTCTGCTATAATAGGAACAAGGTAAAAGAAAGCAAATTTCTTCTCCTTATATAGTATCCTCTTTTGAAATACTTTTATTTCACTTCTTCTAACAGCAATATAGAAACAAAGAATCATAAAAAATAAGATTATAAATTGTCCATTGATTATGTAATAGCACTTGGTATTGCTACAGGGAGGAGGCCTGGGCTGGATCAGGCCGGCTCAAGCCTACCCAGGCTCTCCAGGCCTCTGTGATCTCTGCTGAGTCCATGAAGGCGTCACACAGTGCCATGCATGGCAGTGTCAATGGAGACCTCGCGTTTTACACCCAGGGTCCTCGGGGATGACAGAGAGATGGGCGGATAATGAATTAAACTGCAAACAGTATTGTGCACATGTGGTAAGCCAGAGCATTGCCCTAGGGTGCTGGCGACACAGGTGAGGCTGCAGCTGATTCACAGACATCTCTTGACCCCACAAGGCAGGCTCTTCACAAAACTGAACTAACTTGATTAGTTATTTATGTTCCCTGTGAAAATAAGAGACCTAACAGACATTGGATGATGAGTAAGGAGATGTACCTGGTCTCTCCCCCTTCACTCTCCTCTCTGGTTCCCTCCTCTTTCTCCTCTGTCCTGATCCCAAAATAAAAGTCTCTTGGGGTGAACTAAGCAAAAGAGCTGAGACCTATTCAAAAAAGTGTGCCTTGGTCTCAGTTTCCTCTCAGAGAACAAAGAAAGGAAGGAACCATTAGGTTAACAACTAAATTGCCCAGTTGACGCCAATCAACTGGGTTGACAAAATCAACAAAATCACTCAGCTTTAGTTGAATCCACTTTTTTCAATTACTGTAATGACTGATTTCTAGAAGGAAAAGAGCAATTTGGCATTATTTTCAGAATATGGAATGGGCCTTCCTGCGTGGGTTTGAGAATGTGTACCTGTGTGCTTCTCCGGAGTGAGTGGTGAGTGTGCGGGCCAGCCCACTACCCTGCCATCTCAAGGACTCGTCTCAGAGAAGCCTGGAAGGAAAGCCTCTGTAGGACTTGGCAGTGCTTGTACATAATCCCTGAAGTGAGACAGTGCGGGGTAGAGAAAATTTCCCTCCATTCCTGCCTGAGGGGAGCTGGTCTAAAGGGCCTGGCATTCCACTGACGTGTTTTCTGTGCACCAATCCTCTGGGCCTCAGATTCCAGTCACTGCTCAGAGAGTCAGGCTGAAAACAAATCTTAGCTATGGTGACATATCTTCTTTGAAGGAAGTGTAAATCCTCTGGCTCTTTGAAATCACAAGAGACCAAGTTTTTTCCTAACTAGGGACCATTCATTTATGTCCTCTCACTGCCTGTCCACAAAAGAAAAACAACTTTCCTCATGTGGGTCAGGGTGTGTGTGTGTGTGTGTGTGTGTGTGTGTGTACATGTGTGTAAATGTGCATGAGCTCTGAAAAGACTATACAGGAAGATGAAACATGAAAGAACACCTTGCTTCGACTATGGAAATGTGGTTGATAATATGTGTTCTGTGGGTCCACTTTCCAGCCATTGCTCTGAGTTTGACCCAAATATTCTGAATTGCAAAGTGAGAACTAAGTGTGGGGGCTGAAGGAGGGGGAGAGCAGAGGGGTTGGCAGTTTGTGGGTTTGACAAAGCATTAGGACCATCTGTGAAGTAAAAGTTCATTAATAAATGATCTGTCTAGGCATTATTAATAATGATTAAACCTGTCGATATTCTATAGCCACTAAAGAGCTGTGTAACCTGAGGGAAGTCATCCCCCTTCCCTGGCTTCACTGTACTCCTTTATGAACAAGAAGGCAGGACCAGATGATGTCAAAAGCCAATCCCCTCCCCCACCCCACCCCCTGCCCCTCGCTGGTGGGAGAACACATGCCACGTGGCATTCTACCAGGTTCACTTTCCTGCCCTGTTGAGGTCTTAGTCCTCACCTTGCTGATCGTCATGCTTGTTGTTAGGAAGAACCTTTTAAAATCAAATCCTTAACTTCTGTACTTGACCTACCCAACTGGCATCACCATTTGGACAAAAATCAAATAGTTATTAACAAAGTTAGCAACAGATTAGTAATAGTCTGATTCAATTAAAATTAGTTATTTAAATTAGGCACAGAATCTCAGAGGGGGCTCAGGGCAAGCTTCTGAACTGCTTCCAGTCTTTCTGGGAAGGGCAAGAAGGGCATAAAGGTGACACCACCAGGAGAATTCGGTTACGGGAAATCTGCTGACAGATTTGCCTAGTTCACTTAGCTACTACCCCGGAGGTGCAGGGTAGAGGCAGTAGGGCTCTTTGGAGACTGGCATTGGTGTATGTGGCCAGGGCAGGCAACAGGGGGCATCTGTGCTTGCTCCACCCAAGCTGCACTGGTGTGTCCTGGCACACGCTGGAAACAATTTACACGGCACTGGTAGTGCCAAGGTCTAAGACTGACAGCAGCCTGGACCAGCCACTCACCAGAGGCACTGGCTGCAGCTGTGGGGCCTGGGTTCCCAAGCTTCACTTTATCATTCCTTCTGGTATCCCCTTCCTGGTGGGTCCCTGTCAGGGCTGCTGAGTCACCTAGTTAGGGTGAATTTGAGCCAGTACTTAGAAGACAGCAACAGGAGATGAGCTCATCTGACATACCTGTTCATCTCCTCCTTGGATGCTCAGTGCTCTTGGCAAAGCTTTTGGCTAGAATCACAGTTTTTGGGGCCCTCCCTTTGGGATCCCAGATCATAGCACCAGTAATTCTGGGAAACAAGAATGTGGGTCGGTGAGGGGAGGATGGAGACATGTTATGCTGGGAGCCAGGTCTCACTGAACATCTGGATGGAGATGAACACTGTCTTCTGCAGAACACTTGGGCCTACGGACAGTCAAGGGGTTGTTGGGTTCCACAGCTGGGGCCCCTGAGAGAGGACCTGCCAGGAGTCTGGGGGTCTATGGTTCACCAGACACAGAAAGCCCTGCCCCTGGGGAGACCCACTCAGGGTGACTCAGCCTCAATTTCCTTCCCGTGTCCCCTCCCCACCTCCTGAACACTGTCTTCTGGCTCCTTTGCCGCCTTCAAGGGCTTCTCAGCACAGAGAGAACCTCCGGGAATTGATGTTCATCTTGGTGACTCCAATGAGCTTGAGTGGTGTGGAGAGACTGAAGGAGGAGGCAAGGGGGGAGTCACAGAAGAGATCAGACAGCTCATCCCGTTCCTCCAGCTCATAGGTGGCGTCGTTGAGCATCCTCCTGTGCAGGTCACAGGTTTGCTCGATCTTCAGCTTGTTGATGTCACTGCGCAGGCGCATGAGCTGTCTGGCCAGCTGCTGGTCCTGCAGCCGCATCTCCATCTGGAAGGGAGGAGGGGAAGTATCAGCAAAGAGCTGGGCTGGGGGTTACGGCTCCAGAGTCTCTGACAAACACAGACCCTCTGATAAGAGACCTAATTAATAGCTCGCATCCGCAGTTGGTCCACCTGGAGATATGAGATATTAGCATGTTCTCTGCTCAGGGAAGTGAAAAGATGTATGTAGTAAGATGACAAATAGGGACAGATGGGTTTCCCAAACAATACTTTGTGTTAGGCTAGATACTATATCTAAATCCTGGAATAGATGGGTGTCAGTCCTCGCTTAAAGGTTCAGTCTCATTGTTTACAGATACATACAGATGGAGTAAGAGTATAATGGAATGCACAGGAGTGATAAGTACTGAATTCAGGAGCATGGTTACCTCTGAGTGGGAAGGAAGGACCGTGATGGGGGAAGGCATATGGGGGCTTCAGCTGTATTGGTAATGTTCTATAACTTATGTTGATGGTAGTATACTGTTATATTATTCTGTAAACCTTTAAACAATTTACAATGCATGCAGTATTTCTTTTTTTAAACATTTTTTTAACGTTTATTTATTTTTGGGAGACAGAACATGAGCATGAGCAGGGGAGGGGAAGAGAGAGAGGGAGACACAGAATCTGAAGCAGGCTCCAGGCTCCGAGCTGTCAGCCCAGAGCCTGACACAGAGCTCGAATTCACAAACTGTGAGATCATGACCTGAGCCAAAGTTGGACCCCTAACTGACTAAGCCACCCAGGCACCCCTATCTGCAGTATTTCTCAATAAATCTTTAAAAAAAAACCCACACATATATATGCTAATATTTGTTGAATGTCTTACAGGGAGCCAGGCACTGTTTGAAGCTCTTCAGGTATGTATTAGTCTGCTCAGGCTCCCATACAAATTACCACAGCCTGGAAGGCTTAACCATAGTTCTGGAGGTCAGGAAGTCCAAGATCAAGGGGTGGGCTGATTCTGTTCTTACTGAGGCCCTTCCTTCTAGCACACAAATGGCCACCTTCTTGCTATATACTCACATGATGGAGAGAGAAAACTCTGTTCTCTCCTTCTATAAGGCTATTAAGATAGGGACCCTACTCTTATGCCCTCAAATCTAACCACCTCCTAAAGGCCCACCTCCAAATACCATCACACTGGGGGAAAGGGCTTCAACATATGAATTGGGGGAGGGCACAAAGATTCAGTGTATAAAAAGCATATTAGCACGTTAGAGTTAATCTACACTACGACTCCGTTAAGTAATATCACCACCATCATCCGTAATTTAGAAATGAAGAGGCAGAAGCTCACAAAGTCAGTTATTATGTGACACAAAGGTCATAAACAGCAGAGCTGAGATGAGAAACCCAGACAATCACACTCCAGAACCCAAACTACTGACGAGGATGTTCTGCCTCTTCAGGTACTGTTGATATCAGTGAACTAATAAAAGGCTCATGATATTCTTGGTGGCTCAGTGTTTGGTTTTTTTCTATTGAGGAAAGGATGTGATACTGACTCCTCATCTGGTCTAACACCTTTACAGTTTCCAAAATTCATCCACGTGCTGACTTTGTCAGTATAGTACAGCCAGTCCCGAGGGATCAGCCTGGCAGTTTGGCTGAGTATTTTATGTCTGGAAGGGTGTCAGTGAGTTGCTCAGTTTCACAGTTGAGCCATGGCAGAGACGGGGGTCAGAGCTCACAGGGCCTCCTCAGGCTCCCAGCACAGAGCGCTTTCCATTAACAACACTGAGACAGACCATCAGCTGCTCCTACTTGACATGATATTTGATTCCTTCTCACTGTTAACTCTGCCTGTAATTGCAAGTGGTTCTTGTTTTAGCATTTTTGTGCCTTCAAGCTCAGCTATACCTTTCCCCTGGTGCTTGGAGCCAAACTGATGTGGAGGAATCAACCATGAGATCCCAGAGGTAACCTTCCCATTGTTATAAGGGTGAACATAACTGTTTTCACTTGTCCCCTGTTAAGGTTTGGAATCCAGTGCACTGCCTGGTAGAAAAGTAAGCGACCTCACCAGTAAGCATTTTATTGTTTTTTTTTTTTTTTTGCTCTCTTTCATTTTTAATGTACTTCTACAGATCCCCTTTCTCTCTGTTTTGTAGATGAGAAAAATCAAGATAAAAAATCTTACATGGGGATCAGCAAAGTATTTAATGACAAAATTGGGGGTGAAGTTCATAGCCCCCAGTCTATTAAGTTTACTTCTCAATTAGTTTATTTCTCAATCCTTGGGCATAAAAACCCAAATTTATTGCCAATCAGAAAGTCTATTGATTTAAAAGACCACCAAATTAATGATGGCAGGCTAATCACAGAGCAGTTGGTCATTCATTCATTTGTTATGGTGCCCTTAGTCATGCCTGGAACTGGGCTAGGTGTTGTCTAAAACCCTTCTGAAGGAGATAGGGATCAAATCTGTCTGAAAGACAGTGCCAGCTCACACTCATTGCTTCTGGGAGTCTTGATTGAACCATTTATCCTTGGGGGTATTCTGTAATTTGGAGACAGAGCTCTTTGAAAAGATAGAAACCCCATGGTTTAGGTCTGAACTTAGTCACTGGGAATTGGATCCTAGATCTGAAAAGATCCTCTAGGTTGGAGAAGTTTAGGCTTGAGCAGGTATCTGGGAGTATCTGTGAGATGCAGCCTGCAGGTTTGCCTGGTGGAGGAAAAGGTCTATTTTTCTCTGGCCAATAGATCCAGTCAAAGGACAGAGAACACCTGAGGACTGAAATCCCGTCAGAGTCAGCTAGAAAAGAGGGGGTGAAAGGGAGGCACGTGTCCCATTCCCTTTGATTGGACAAAGGCCACCTTGGTGGAGTCACTTTGCACACTCATTTACTTACCTTGGATTCATTCAATTCTGCATAAGGAAAAGAAGAGAAATAAAACCACGCTTTCAACAGGGCTGAGGATCCTAGCCATTCTGCTTATTTGTGCCCCAAAGGAACACGAGGGAGACAGGGAACCTGCTGTTTCCCCAGTGGGCCCTGGTTCTGAGGGCGCCTCAGGGCAAGTACGTGCCTTAGGATTCGCTGAGAGTCTATATTTTGTTATGACCACTGAATGTAAATCAGCTACTGCTACTCATGCACAGAGAAACAGTGTTTGTCACAACACTACAGGGAACACCTGCGGTGTGGGGCGTATTCTCACTAAGGCATTTTCCAAGGGTGACTCTTGGAAACATCAGTTTGAGGCCCCACTTAAGGGGGACCTCTGCTGGAATCAGACCAAATCCATACAGAAATGAGCTCCATGGCTGGGAAAAAAAAAAAAAAAAAAACATAAGCAAAATGTGCAGGGCTAAAAGGATTTTTGCCCCCTTAATTTTTTTCCGTTGTAATAAAATACACATAACAAAATTTTTACCATCTTAATCCCTTTGAAGCGTGCAGTTCAGGGGCATGAAGCACATTCCCATTGATCTGTGGCCCTCACCACCATCTCGAGACCTCTTCATCTTGTAAAACCGAAACTCTGTCCCCATTAAACACTAACTCCCCACCCCCACCCCACCCCCTACCACCACTCTACTTTCTGTCTCCCTGAATTTGACCACTTGATATACCTTATATAAGTGGAATCATACAAAATTTGTCCTTTTGTGACTGCCTTATTTCACTTAGCATAATGTCCTCAAAGTTTACATGGCCAAGAGGCTTTTTAATAAATTAAACCTTCTCAGAAATGTTTAGGGAACACCAGGAGAATAGCAGCTCCTCAGGAGGCTGCTGAACAGGAGCTGTGACATGGTTACAGAGAGCAGGGTCTGGGCTGGGGATGGAGGCCCTCCTTCCTTTTTCTTTCTTCTCTGCCAAGGAGGCACTTGGGCATCAATGACATCATCTCTCATCTTCTGCCACATACTTTCAGGTGCAATTTATATGTATTATTTCACTGCAGCTGCTCACAGCTCTAAATGATAGGTAGTTTGCTCTGTTTCATGGATGAGGAAACTCAACTCAGAGAAGTTAAGGGACTGTCCAGGATCAGCCAGCCTGGGCAAGGCACACTTGGGTCTCCCTGGGGCCCATCAGAGCCCAGAGCTGGTGGCTTCCCCATAGTTCCCACTCACCTGGAGGTGGTTTGGGTCCCAGAGGCAGTAGAAGTGGGAAATCCATTGCTCTGGGGTTAGAATCTGGGTTCTAGTGGAGCTTCCTCCTCACTAGCTGTATGGTTTTGGGTGAGTCACTAACCCTCCTTGAACTTCTGTATCTTCATCTAGAGAAAAGGGATAATGCCTATTTCAAGGGCTATGAGAAGCATATTAGATAAGAAGGGATATGCCAAGTAAGCTGAACAATGCCAGTCAAACAAAGGTAAGAGCTTCACCGTTCAAGCTCTTTCTCTCCAGGCCAAGGTGTAGAATGTGGAAACTGGCCAGAACCTCCCACCTTTAAGACTTTATTAAAGAGACTGTGACACTGGCCCTAAAACCTGGTCCCAGTGACTCAACTATCAGTGTGGGTTTAATGTTCTCCCTGGCAAAGACCCAACTGTAGGAAATGCTGATTTCCAATCCCCTTTCCCAGGGTGGCCTGTTGTTCCTGCAGAATAAAGGCGCTTGCTGGATTCCAGTAATCCTGTAATTAGGACATAGTACTTGGTGAAAGGGGAAGAAATGTCAGTGCATTGTGGCTGTCAGCACATTGTGGTAGAGGGTGTGTTCCCACTGGGTAAGAAAGCTCATGAAGGAGCTGGTGGATGATCGGTGGCCTTGCTACAATAGTCCATGCATGTAGGATGGCTACATGCCAGTCGAGGAAATTCACAGAAGTACCTAATGTGACAGGGCTCTGCTGTGAGATCTCTGTAGCCAAGTCTCAGGGGAGCTGGGGGAGGGGTGGAATAAAAATGAAGCCCGCAGTAAACTGATGTGGAGAACAGTGTGGCAGTTCTTCGAAATATTAAGCATAGAGTTATCACATGATCCAGCAATGCCTCTTGTGGGTATGTCCCTATACGAATTAAAAGCAGGGACTTGAACGG